TGTGTGTGTGTGTGTGTGTGTGTGTGTGTGTGTGTGTGTGTGTGTGTCGAGGTGTAAAGGAGAGATAGAGGGCACCCATGTCATTACAGTTTCTTCTGGATCATTTTAGGTGACCACTGTTTACTCCTGCCACAATGCATACCCAAACTGTGAATTCATATTCTTCATGTAGAAGGTGTTAATGACGGCTGTGAGTGTTTTACCTGCTGCTTATTGAATCATAATCAGCTAAGTAGGCCGAGCATTCACAGAGCATATTTGTGCCTGTCAGTTTCCACCCACCTGTTTTAATGCACATTTTCAATTTGCGTATAAAAACACTGGAAATTTGAAAAAATAAAAATAAATAAATCTAAATATTGCAAGAGTATATTTGAAGCTTGGCTTAGTTGGAGAGCCGGTGCGTCGATAAGAGCACAATGCAACTGGAACAAGTGCAACACAACCAGAACAAATCAATAAATCATGCCGTAGCTTTGACGTAAACATCTGCTGGAGCTTTACTCTAAAGTGGCAGCAGGAGAAAGCTAACCAACAGAAATGTCATATTTCCATTGTTCATGAAAATAGATTATTTTTCTTTGAATTCAGCTCAATTTAGGAGTAAATAACTAGGACGATGTAACACACACCAGTTGTGTCCTCTCACAATAAGACCGTCCATTTTATTGCTGTACATTTCTTGTAAATTAGAAACCTGCTTTCCATAATGGTGGTAGGAGATTAGAGAAGCCTGCTTTCACTGTTGGGCTTCTCCTGGTCATGTAAGCAGGTTTCTATCCAGACCTGAGACAGAACAAAGACTTCTGACAGGTGTGATGAGTCAACACATCCCATCCATTGTTTAAAGTCACGAATACAGTTAAGATCAAGTAAGCCAGGCGTCCAATAAGGTCAGATCTCCTTACTGACCCACTCCGTTTACAGTAACCAGGCTACTGCAGTGCATGTACACCTGTTCTCTGATTACCGTAGCAACCTGGCTCCTTATGTTCACGTAAACACAGTGGATCCCTCATCCAGGGGGGCCTGTATGTAAGTCGCAGCAGAATAATTACCATAGTAAGTAAATATCAACTGTGTATGATATTAAGTCAAATAAATGATGCTTTTTCTTTATTGTGTCATTTTTCACAACATTGGTGCAGCAATCTGCCTCAAGTCCAACTGTATTATAAGCCTAAATAATGTGAAGTCTTTGCCTTTAGCCTGTCCACCAGCTGAAAGGAAAAGACTGATTAGACTGATAGATTCTTTTTCTTGGATAAGAAAAGGTCCAATTGAATCAACCTGACATGAGATAAGTGGGAGATTGAGGCAGGGGTGTGGGACAAGTTCCGATGAAGACTACAGCTGAATGACCCACATCGGTGTTTCTCAAGCTGCTCCTCTTTCCTTTCATCCTGCCACATGATCTTTTGCTGTCCTCAGTCGTCTCCATGTGCCTTTTAAAGCAGCTACTGGTCAGAAGTCTCCACTTACATAAACATTTCTCAAATAGAACTCCCAGCTCATCATGTTTGAAAAAGAGACCGATTGGATTTGATGAGAAACATTTGTGTAATCAGGACCTCCAGTCATGCCAGCTTTTTGCTGTAGAGAGCAATTTGTCCCAATTGTGTGTTATGAATGGCTCTCCAGATTACCTGCAGTTAGCTTCAGCAAGCTGCCAGTGGAACATTGATGGTTTCATTTGAGCTTGAACCGTTACCAGTCTGTCTGAGATACAGCCGTCAGCCAAAGTACAGCAAACTACTGATGCTTTCTGAACCTGTGATCACTAACCATGTTATTAAGCATCTCCTGTCTTGAAGAAAATGGTTGAGAAAAGATTTTCTTGATTTGATTCTACTCTGTTGGAGAGTCTGAATCAAAGAACATGATTCTCATTTCTAGTAAACTTGAAGTACTAGGTTTGCGCCACACGTCTTATCTTAGAGGAGCCCTCGGACGGCTCAAACATTTTCATTTGATTCACCTCCCACATATTTGCTTGAGGATCTATGAGTGAACATTCTAACACACAGTACCCATTCCCCATGTTACAGTATATCAGCTCAATGTATTTACAATATAGTTCAGCAAGCAATATTCAATTTAAAGATACCGTTGAACCAAATTTTGTCCTCACAACATTTAAAAAAATCTGTTTTCCTGCCCACAAGTCACCATGTGACTCTCAGATGGCCCATTGGTAGCCCAGACAAACTCTGTGGGCCTCTTTGAAAAGTAATAAGTGGTCTGCAGTGTTTTTCATTGAAAAGGCTGGACATGCTCGCAATGACTTGACGAATGGAAAAATGTTATTTTCCATGAAAAAATGTTGAAAATGTTACAAAAATGTTCCCAACCCATTTACAGTGATTGTTGGCGTCCACCAATTTGATGACTGATGGTTCTTTGATGATTGTTTTCCTGTCGCATGGCAAACTATTGTGGGTTTCACCACTTCACTGGCTCAGTGTCTCACTCTCTTATGTACGCTGCAGAAAAAGAACCGTACTGTTGTGCTGAAGAGAGAGCCTGAAGGCAAACTTCTGAATTTAATCAGGGTTCCCACGCGTCCTGGAAAACCTGGGAAACAGTTGACCCATTTTCCAGTCATTGAAATCACACGGAAAATGTCCTGGAACATCTTGTATTGACCTGGAAAATAATTTCAGCATTCTCCTATTATCTTTGAGCTGAGAATGAACTACCAGGCTCTCTGTCAGAGCTCCATAAAAAGGATGACATTGCCATCTGAAAGATCCGAGTCATGTTCTGATCACATTAACGCTCAAAGCAGCTGGTGGACCAGCCTATTCTCAGTTATGTAGTGGACACTCTGTGAACACACTTCCATGTTACGTCACATGGGAGCACATGCAGGTTGGATGACATTACATAACGCTGCTTTCTTCCCAACTTGTTTTAAACGACTTGAACAATGTTAAATTAGTTAGCATGTTTGGTTCAGTTGCTAAAGTTGATGTCTTTGCAAGTACATATTTCCCACATCAGCAGGCATGTTTGCATTATTCTATGATCACTCTTTTTTTAAGCACGAAAGAGGTCATGTTATTGATAAGTTAATCAGACCTCTATAGACAGGAATGTATTAGTATATGGAGGGATCCCTGTTTGGAGCTAGATCATCACAAAAAGCATCCTGGAGTATAACCTGTAGAGAACAGAAGGAACCCTGTTATAGGACATCGATGTACCAACCCTCCCCTGTAGTCAGGAGCTTTGGGTAGTGAGCTACAGGTACCAGCGTGTGTTTTAACTCGGGCATCTGGAATGAGCTTGCTGTAGAACCAAAGCTCCTTCACAACAAAAAGAATGCTGGTTCAGCATTCTTGATCAGGATTCCTGCTGATCACCTCCCTGTGGAGGTTCGGTTCAACTGGGAGGAGACCAGTCTGCTGCCACCCAACCCTTACCCAGATAAATCACAGAAAATAGATGGATGGAAGTGCAGGTCACCCCTTTGGGATTCATTAAGGAAGTCCTGTAAAGACAGACACTCAACTAAGTTCTCTTGAAAAGCCTTTGTCACAGTATTGCAACCCTTTAGGTATTAAACAAACTGCAGGACACACACTTCCTGTTCTAAACAAATCTATTTCTCTCCTTCACAGAATCAGGGTTTTAATAACTGACACAATTATGGCAAGTAGTAAAGAAGTGTCAAAACATCCCCTGAGTGTGTGATATCACACTGAGGACACTACATCCATGCTTTTCTATAGACACATCAGCACATGGAGGCACCTTTAGGTTACATTAGTAAATGCACTGTGCAAATCCTCTTTACAGTTCTAATCAGTCCCTCTATTGTTGCATGTGTTGACAGATCCAGGATCTGGCCATCCGCTGCATCCAGAAGAACATAAAGAAGAATCGTGGTGTCAAAGGCTGGCCATGGTGGAAGCTCTTCACCACCGTCAGACCTCTGATAGAGGTGCAGCTCACTGAGGAACAGATCCGGGGCAAGGACGTGAGTACACACACACACACACACACACACACACACACACACACAGGCTGCAGAGAAAACTCTGGACTCTCTGTCTGAGAAGACAGAGCAGAAGAGCGCAAAGCACAATGGATGTGTGAAAGAAAATAGTTTGCCATGCTGTTTAATAAAATGTCTAGCTCAGCTAACTCGGTTAGATTTTTGGTGGACACGCCAAACTACGTTTTGTTGACTAAACCTAACTTCCTGTGTAGACGGAAGTTTATTTTGAAGAGACACTATACTGTACATGTAACGAATGGAAAGTGACATGCCGTCCCTCACGCGTCCAAACCTGCCACTAGAGGGGAACCTAGAGCGTCATAGTTTCAAGCTTTGGGCCACTGACCAAGCGTCGGTATTTGATGAGTTGGGAGTGAGAGTTCCGTCCCGGCCGTGGAACAGTGGACCAGCTCTTTACCCTCGCAAGACTACTGGAGGGGTTCTGGGAGTTTGCCCAACCAGTCTACATGTGCTTTGTGGACTTGGAGAAGGCTTTCGACCAGGTCCCTCGGGGGTTCTTGTGGGGGGTGCCGGACCCATTACAACGGGCGATCCGGTCTCTGTACGACTGCAGTAGGAGCTGTGTCCGCATTCTCGGCAATAAGTCAGACACGTTCCCGGTGGGTGTTGGCCTCCGCCAGGGCTGCCCTTTGTCTCCGGTCCTGTTCGTGACTTTCATGGACAGGATATCTAGGCGCAGCCTGGGGGTGGAGAACGTCAGGTTCGGGGGTCTCGGGATCGCCTCTCTGCTGTTTGCAGATGATGTGGTCCTGTTAGCCTCCTCGGATCGTGACCTCCAGCATTCACTGGGGCGGTTTGTAGCCGAGTGTGAAGCGGCGGGGATGAGAGTTAGCACCTCCAAATCTGAGGCCATGATGCTCTGCCGGAAACCGGTGGATTGCTCCCTCCAGGTGGGGACGGAGTGCCTACCTGAAGCGAAGGAGTTCAAGTATCTGGGTCTTGTTCACGAGTGAGGGTAAGATGGAGCGGGAGATCGACAGACGGATCGGTGCGGCTGCAGCAGTAAAGCAGGCACTGCACCGGACCGTCTTGGTGAAGAGGGAGCTGAGCCGGAAGGCAAAGCTCTCAATTTACCACTCGGTCTACGTTCCTCCCCTCACCTATGGTCACGAACTCTGGGTCGTGACCGAAATGACAAGGTCGCGGCTACAAGCGGCCGAAATGAGCTTCCTCCGTAGGGTGGCCGGGCTCAGCCTTAGAGATAGGGTAAGGAGCTCGGTCATCAGGAGGGAGCTTGGAGTCGAGCCGCTACTCCTTCGCGTCGAAAGGAGTCAGCTGAGGTGGTTCGGGCATCTAATTAGGATGCCTCCTGGACGCCTCCCACTGGAGGTTTTCCAGGCACGTCCAACTGGGAGGAGACCTTGGGGAAGACCCAGAACACGCTGGAGAGATTACATGTCCCAGCTGGCCTGGGAACGCCTCGGGATCCCCCAGAATGAGCTGGAACATGTTGCCGGTGAGAGGGAGGTCTGGGTCAGCCTGCTTGGCCTGTTGCCACCGCGACCCGACCCCGGATAAGCGGAGGAAAATGGATGGATGGATGGGAGTGAGAGTGTGTTCAACTGGCAACAAGCGCTTGCACAAGAGGTGCTATTTTGCACTATACATATTAATAGGAAAGATTGTCTTTCATCCGATTCATTAATTCATATTAAAATAGAACGCTCTGTTTCTTCCAACAACTGTGCTCTCATTTTGGTGTTGACTGGATTTACTAACGCGTTGACATTACTTCACTTTATGTGTGGTGGCTCTTTTTCTATTTGATCGGATTCAGATTTAAAGTATTTTTCATGACAATGCCTGGCTATTCTGGCACTCTAACACTTTGTTGGAGACAAATAGGATTTCTATTTTTATTGAGATATTTACAATTAATATTGTTTGATAATATCATTTAATCAATTAAACTGTATCATATCCATCAGAGGATGTGCACAAGGAAAACACCCATAAGTACACCCCTACAATTAGCAAAAATGAGATGACGGTGATGAGTGTAATGAGTTCATAGCTGATTAATGCACTCCATCTGCTGTATCCTCACTAACATGTCTCTCTGCCATTAACTTCTTCTGTGTTTTCCCTCTCAGGAAGAGATCCAGCAGCTGAAGCAGAAGCTGGAGAAGGTGGAGAAAGAGAGGAACGAGCTGAGACTCAGCAGCGACCGCCTTGAGAGCCGGGTAAACACACAGAAACAGACGTACACATGCACAGAGCAGGATTTGGGTTCATGTCCGAGAAGCATCTTAGAATTCTGAGAACCAAATGTAAAGAGTTATGAATCTTTTCTCAAAAATGATTGTGATGAAGAGCTGTGTGCAGGGGTTAGCAGCTCTGTGAGTAAATCATTATGTCATTTTATTCTACTAGATAATGGGACAGGCCGTCCACATGTTGCTACAGCATCATCTGATGCCTCCTTTAGTCAGACCTACAGAATCCTCAGACCACTAATATAATGTAAACTTGGTGTGATATTACACCAGAGTCAGATCTGTTGTTTGTGCCGATTATATCTTTTAAACAGGAGAGTTATGTAAATTCATCCCTCGTACGGTTGTCATGAACGGGGAAATAAGCTGTAGAGACTAAAACCAGTTTAGTACCAGGCTGTAAACACAATTCATCTATTTCTGCTGTACAGTCGGGCATTGTAACATGGTGGTGGATGTGCAATGACTCAAGGGGCCATTTGATGAACTGCACTTCATTATTTAGCCCTCGAGGCTGCCGCTCATGTGATAGATCCCTAAGCTTGGTCTAGAACAAACACACATTATTGATAACATAAATCTTCCAAGCTATACATCTATATATAACATATAGTATAAACATGCTTGACACCTGCTGTGTGTGTGTGACTGACTGTGCATATGTTTGTGTTCATGCGTTGCATCAGATCACAGAGCTGTCATCAGAGCTGGCTGATGAGCGTAACACCGGGGAGTCAGCCTCCCAGATGCTGGAGACGGAAACTTCTGAGAGGCTCCGCCTGGAGAAGGACATGAAGGACCTGCAGGTAGAGGCACACACACACAGAAGACAACATGTTGTGAAGGAACACAGTCATGTGTGTAGGATAAGAGAGTCGGGTTGTGTTCACATGCTGCACCATTAAACGGCTGCGGTCTAACTCTTAAGCTGAGGTTTGATTAAAACTGTCACACGCCACGGGACTAATGCCTCACTGTGTCCATTAACGCTCTGACCCATTCCTTCACTTGATGCTTTCTTTCAAGCAGAGTTCCATTAAGGCAAATGAAAATGGAAGTGCCTTATTGTGATGGCAAATAGAGATGGATAACACTTTATAGCCCAATTAGCCCTTTAGCAGTGAGGTAATAAAGTTTTCTACAACACAGCCACATTCTGCGACTTCACAGTAACGTTTCATAATTATACACATTGTAAAATGCAGTTTAATGTCTACTCATTTATATATAAATGTAACTTTAGCGCATCAGCTTGAATTATTAAAGAGCAGAACTATTAGCCAGCCCTGCTTTTCTTCTGAGAGATTTTATCGTCTATTTGAGTATTAATGTTGGAAGATGTCATTTCAATTTCAACTTGGATAATGAAAGGCTGTCTCATATTTAAACATTGCTGTTTTCTCAAGACAGTCAGGCAGTAATAATTGAAGACCCAGGAGATCCGAACACACAGTTCATTGAACTGCAGTCTCAGAGGCATACAGTCAGTCGTTGAGTTGAAAAGAAGGTTCCAGTCTGAGATTGTGCTGTTGTAAAGGCTGATGGGAGCAGACTCTTCGTGATGTTTAGGGGTTGTGCCTCCGGCCAGTCCATTCTCGTGAAACGTCCTCCTGGACTCAACAATGAACTGAGTAGATTTGGCGGTCAAAGGTCACTCGCCTTGTGACCTCACGTCTGTCCATTCTAGTGAACACGATATCGCAGGACAACCTGAGATCACTAATTTCTTCAAGTTTAGCACAAACGTCCACTTGGACTCGAGGATGAACTGAGAAGAAATTGGTGGTCAAAGGTCACTGTGACCTCAAAAAACATGTTTTTGGCCATAACTCAAGGATTCCTATGTAATTATGACAATTTCACACAAATGTCTAATAAGATGAAATGGAGATGTTTTGGACAGACTTGGATATGAACTTTAACTTGACTGGTTGGCGGAGGTATGCAGTCGCTAGGCGATAACTATCAGTAAATGTGTGTAGGTATTGATTTTTTTGTTCATCAGTATGACATTAAATGCAAATGTATAACTCTAGTGGTGTAATGGACCCACCCCAGTTTACCCATCATTTGTGTGAACTACATTTTTGCTGTTGATCGTTATCGGCCGATATTCAGTCAAAATATGGGATCAGGACGTCATCAATATTTTTTATTGGCCGATCCCTGATAGTGCTACATTCTGAAGAATAAAAGTGTGTTGAAATCAGCAGGAGGAGAGCTAGTAACGTTAGAATCACCAGTGCCAACAGCTAATGTGTGGAGGTTCCATTCATTTACATTGTGCTGCGTTCAGGCTCTGTTCAGTAATAGTGAATATAGGGTGAAGGTTGGTCATGTGTTCAAATGTAATTTTTTTTTAAATGTAGTTTTTGTTGAGAAACTTGAATGAATCCAGTTTTTTGAAGACAATGTTTTTACATCAACATAAATAGATGTTAGAGATAAATTATGACTTGTTTAATGTCCTAACATGAGCTAAGATGTTACGCTAACTAAGATATATTTGCTGAGATATATTTGCTCCCTTTGATCCTATTGATGCATTTATTTACATTAAAAACGTTTTGCAGGATGCTATGGGGTTTTCCACATAATGGAAACACAGTTATTCAACTCAATTAGCCACTTTGGGCCTCACTGAGTGCATTCAAAACTCTTAAGTTAAAGTTCTGCATTGTCACAAATAAAATCACACACACACAGGAGCCCCCATGAAGTAGTATACTTGCATGTACTAGATCAAATGATCCCCTACAGGTGTGTGTTGCTCAGCATCAGATGCTGCCGTGAGCCAGCAGGAGAACACAGCCTGCTGGGCTGTAAAACCTCACGGTTCACCTATAACACACCTATAACACAACATCCTGCTTGGTAGGTATGTGGCCTTTAATTTGTTCAATATCGAGGAGTTCAAGCACAGAACGCCGTCTTTGGTTGAGCAAACAAATACACAAATTCAAAGTGTATTTAAACCGTTATGCTTAGAATACAGGATATGCTACAATATTTCCAGACTAACTCAAACTGCTGAAGCCTGGTGTTTGCTTCTGCTCAACTTTATAATGTATTTTTGCAGAGTACTGTAGATTTTGTCCCCCATCTTTTAAATTGCAGTCGCTCTGAAGGGATCACTTCACAGCTATTATGTAGAGGAGGAATGATTACAGCAACCATTAACCCTTTCAATGCACTGCATACATGGCAGGCAGTATTAAGATTACTCAAAACGACCTGAGCCTTAAATTCACTCAATACATCTTCTACCAAAACAGCAGGTCGACCAGTGTTGCGTTGACAACCGCAACAATGAAGCTCACCATGCATTCGTTTCTACAAGCCTTTCCACCAGCTTTCTCTTCTCCTGGTCCCTCTGCCTGTCTCACATCTACACACACACACACACACACACACACACACCAGTGGCGGGCCGTGCATTTTATACCTGGGTATATACCAGTGCAGTCCTTCTACATTTGAACCACCTCCTAATAACCTCACTATGACGCCACAGCTACGGTTATTATTTGTTTCTAGGGGTGTAATAATACACGTATTTGTATTATACCGTTCGGTACGAGGCTTATGAACCGAACACTACGTTTGAATAATACTAGTGCGTTTAGAAAATGCAGAAGCTTAAATTGTGGGAAATATAATGTTCTTTCGGTGGAGCTACTGCGCTCAACATGGCAACCTGCTGTCTGACACGCCCACTACGGAAGAAAAACATTGTACACTGGTGATGCCAAACTAGCTTAGCAGGAAAACAACAGCAGCACACAAGCTACAAACTCTCCCTGCAGCGTTTAGCTGTTCCCTACTGATTCAAACAGGGCTAAAGCAATCGCCACACAATCCCCATTTCTCCAGACCATAATTCTTACTTTGTAAAAGAAAACGGATACATGAATACACGCATGACCGGATGCTTCGTCATTAACGGACAATGCATATAGTCAACATCAATGTAATTAACACAATGACAAGAACAAACTCACAAGAACCAGTCACATATGTTTTTTTGACAACCAAGCAACAAATCAATCCAGCAACACTGCAGCGCTAAAACACATATTCTACCACACACTGAAGTGCACGGGCCATTCAAATATTATTCACATCAGAGGGAACAATATTAACCATATCATACAAACGACACCATAGACAAATGAACACAGTAGTAACGCTACTGCAGATGTAAAAACACAAAAGCAGTTCACTTACCAAAGCTGCTCTTCACTTAAAGACAAAGTCCATCCTCCTTTCTTTGACTACAAAGAGTTTGATACCGCGGTTGTACAGAACATCGGTGCGGTTCAGTTCCAGCCAGAGGTCCTCCTGCGAACGTGTTCATTGAGTTGTAGATCCACTCAGGTCTCAGCAAAAGTTTTCAAAAGCACCGTAGCTTGTAAGTGTCCTGCCGTGCTATGGTGTCGTGTTGTTGCCTTGGTTATCCAACTCAGGTTAGCAAATCCAGCTTAACTCCAAACACCAAGATGCTCAGTCGCAAATAAAAGGCATTCTTAGCCATAGAATGTGTGTAAAACACTACTCCGACGCTGTCAGCCAGGAATACCGTTCGTACAAATCCTTTTCCTGGCTGGGTCAGAGCTGCTAGTTGTGGGGTTGGCCGACCCTTTGATACTTTTCTGGAAATGTCCTTCTCCAGAAAGGCGTTGCCAGTAACTCCCAAATCCGTTTCTCCTCCTTCAGCCATTGAGTGTTAAAAAAACAAAACTACAGCAAGCAAAACACTAAAAATGTCATGTCACTGTCATAACATACCTGGACCCTGGTCTTGCCTCGTGCCGTGGTTCTGTCATATACATAGAATGTGTTGTAACTCTGTTATGCTGTTCATTCTGTACACATGACATCTATCACACTTCTGTCCATCCTGATAGAGGATCCTCCTCTGTTGCTCTCCCACAGGTCTCTTCCGATTTTTTGGGGTTTTTTGGGGAGTTTTTACTGTTCTGATGTGAGGGTCCTGGGACAGAAGATGTCGCATGTGTATAGATTGTAAAGCCCTCTGAGGCAAATTTGTAATTTGTGATTTTGGGCTATACAAAAATAAATTGAATTGAATTGAATAACTTCAACTACTACTACTAACTTCTACTAGCTAGCTTTCTGCTTCACAATAGTCATGCTAGCCCACTGACCAATCACGGCGCATGTTAATGCTGACGTACTTGTAGGCTACCTAGACAGCTCTGACATGTCAAAGAATACGCCCAACATGTCAAACTAAAGATCTGATTGGTTGAAGACTATGACAATCAACAATATCGTCCCCATTTCCTTAAACTGCAAAGGCTCTCTGGGCATCGGGCCTCTGTTCTTACCTAGAGACACAGAGGTGAAATCTGATTGGATAAAATCTCTACTTAAAACAAGCTGCACTGGAAGCAGAGCAACTGAGGAAGACAGTAGCTGTGCAATGAGAAAATAAGATAATGGGAAAAATAATTATAATACATGTAGTGAATTTATGAAAAAATATAAAATTATAAAATAGCTATAACTTTGTGATTCTGTTTAGGCCAGCAGAGAAGGCTTTGCTGGCCCTGACGGCTCACCACTGACACACACAAACACACATACAGATTGACTGTAATTGTGAAATCATATTGTCAGGCCATTTTTCCACCACTGCCCTTCCCCAGCTCCCTCCATCCATTTAGTTCAGTATTTTACATTTTAGACGTGATTTCTTTCTGTGTTTTAATTTGGGGGGGGGGGGGGGGTCATTTTTTTTTCCAGTGGGTGCCCAGATAGCTATGTGGATGGGCTGCCTTCAAAGGCCCGGCTCATAGAAATGTGGGATGGATGTTATTTTCTTCTTGTGTGAGTGAGGAGAGGCACAAGGGGGCAATGTGGGTATTCACACAGGGAAGGGTTCATGTATGTTGGGAATGTTGCTCTGGAATGGACCAGTACCATTCTAACTCATTCAGTAAGTCAGGAAAATAAGAGTTAAAAGTACCAGTTAAATGTAATCACTGACACCGACATCATTGTGATGTTAAAGTGGGAAAGCACAGGTGAAATGAATGACTTTGATGATGGCTGCATTCCATTTAGGTGAGTTAGTTAGCGCTCTGGGATTGTGCACGCTCACTGACATGGCTAACTGGGACACTTAATGCAACAGAGCCATTGTTAATGTTATTGTCTGAGCTTTTCCTTTAAGTCCCAATGTCTGCCAGGACGACATGTGTGGACACACTGAAGAACACACTGAGGGTCAGAGATAGCATCATTTTTTAGAAGAGACACTCTTAACATGCAGGTTCTGGGCTGCAATCATCACAGCAGGATGGACTGACTGGTCTGTGGAGCTTTTACTCTCAGCAGGAGACATTTCCATGTTCTGTGGGCCCCTGAGACTCAAATGTGGTTCAGTGTCTCTGTGGTGTCTAATGTCCCTCTATTTGTCCTCCAACACGCAAAAACCTGCAGGACTCTTCCGTTAATCTCTGGAGGCATATGTGTTCACGTTGTCATAGAAACCCTTTCCTCTCTCTTATCCATCAGGCCAAGTTTGACAACATGAATAAACAGATGGAGTCCATGGAGATGGAGGTGATGGAGGCCCGGCTCATCAGAGCGTCTGAACTCAATGGAGAGATGGACGATGACGACACAGGTCAGACACCAGATACAGTATTCATCAGCACAGCTACATTGACTGAGAATGATCCCATTCATGTTGCAAAGGAAACCACCAGGAATGTGTGCTTGCTCGATGTGTCTACCCAGTGGTCCGTTTAATGAATGAGGGGGCGGCACTTTTTAAAGACTTTTTGAAAGATTTGTTCAGAACCCCACTGTCTACAACAGTATTTTGACATTAACATTTCAACAAATGATGAATAATTGATTTTCTAAATGAATTTGGATTAATTTTCTGTCAGTAAACAAATACATAAAATGAGTGTATTCCAGACATATAGTAACTGTGTTGACAGAAAGATAAAGTGATCACAATTAGTCTTTCAGAAACAGTAAGTGAACAATGAGTCAACAGATGTCATGAAACAACACTGAGTTGAATGTACACACTACTGAACTGTACACACCCGCACACAGAGGTTACAAAAGTACTAATTCATTCCCACACTGGGGTCTTCAGCAGGAACTGTAAGGGGGGTGTCCGATCGATGCTTTGACAAAGCAAGAAAGAGCAGATGTGAAGAAGTACATTATAAATCGATCAGTTACAAGTGAGGAGTGAAGCGGGGATTGTGTTCCAGACGCCCTGCAGGCAGGCTGCCAGCTGTCTTTGTGTGACATGCCGACTTTGTAAATGTAGAATCGACTTGATGAAGTGCCTCCATGTTGCATTGTGCCGTAGCAGAGCTTTGACTCATGTGAACTGGCACTGCGACACAATCATGACTTGAAGTACATTCAATATGTGTGGACCGTGCCACATGGAGTGTTGGTCTGACCTTGAGTACTGGAGCAGACTTCCTCAGTAAAGTAAGGGAGTTTGAAATAATGGATACAGTTTAAAACTGGCTCAAGGCAAACATAAATTGCTTCAGTTGAGCTTCATGCTTTGATCAAATCTGTTTTGTTAAGTAAAGTTTCAGGATGCACTTAGCACATCTATAAAGCTAATTCATATTGTCCTTTTATAGACTTGGGTGGAGGCAGCAACGGACTCCACCAATGAATGTGCTCATACATCATATAAAACTAAATTTGGTTGATTAGTCCATCACTTAAAAGTGAAGCATCTGACCCACAATACAGATGTTCAAGGTCCCCCGGAGAATGAATAATGGCCCCTTCACCACTTCCTACTCTCCTACTTCCAGCTCCTTTACTCGGACCACTCCCATCTCCAAACTCATCTCTAGACTCAACCTTCATTTTGATCTCAACTACACGCATGTAAAGTCACTAGTGGTGACAGACAGACAGACTGCCTCCTGGTAGAGTACACTAACCTCTCTGTGGTAGCTCCTCACACAGCCAGTGTCTCCAGAAGATCACTGTTAATGTTCTCAGTTCAATTCATCCTGATCTAACCACTCAATTCTCAAACAGAGACATGCAGATTTGTCAGGTCTGGTACCTGAAGTTTAGGACATCATGAGCCATAATACTTGAGCGCTCCCATCTCTCTGGCTTTGCAAAGACTGAGCTGCCTTTAACTGTTTTAATTGAGACTTCCACAACATGGAACCTCTTTAACCCTTGGCCATTTAAAACAACCTGGAAAATCCAGATAGGGGACCCTGTGAATCCCCATTTCAAACTACTGTTTTTTGTGACAAATGTTTCCTTCATGAAAAGTATTCACAGTATTGTATGGGAGGTCTGTAAGCATATTGAGATCCAACAAGGTGAAGCTGACTGAACATGCTGGTGTGACAGGAGGAGAGTGGAGGCTGAAGTATGAACGAGCCATCAGGGAGATTGAATTCACCAAGAAGAGGCTGCAGCAGGAGTCTGATGACAAGCTGGAGGTGGAGCAGCAGAACAAACGGCAGCTGGAGAGGAGGGTGAGTGTACATCACACCATTGTGTCCATCATGTACTGTAGAATTCCAATCACAAGTCATTAATCATTTGTTATCTATGGTACAATATAGAGCTGTACCAAATTAGACACCTCCAATCTTCCTGTTTTATTGCAACACAAATATTTACAATTAATACAATTACAAATGGAAGCCCACATCAATTCCAACTTCTCAGACGGACAATTCAAGATTAAACAAACTGCTAATAAGACTACTCAGATCAATTCTGTTATGTGGTGACTAATGAGGGTACAAAGGAACCACGTTATGAAAAAGAAGAAATCAGAACTTCAATGTAGATGTTGAAATGTTGTGTTGCTTTGCACCTGCAGACTAGGATACTTCAGTTTAAGAGAGTAAAACAAGTTTATAGTGATTCGTAATAGTTATATTAATAGAGGAGTTTTTAAAATGCACTTCTTTGAGGTTTCAGTTCCTGCTCAGCGTCTTCTATCTCATCTCAGTCGTATTGTGTGCAAGAAGCTCCAATCCTCAGCAATAAAAGCACTGCTGTGTACACTGTGGACATGTGGGAGAATGCTTCCTTTGTTGGTTTTGGTGAACCGATCCGTTTACACAGAAATAAACATGAAAATGTTTAGGTTGAATGTTGACTTAGTTAGTTGCAACATGTGATCCTGTAAATTAAATGATTACTAAAATGACACTTATCCAGCTGTTGGATGATGAATCCAGTGTATATATTATATTTCTGGCTCATATTATATTTCTGGCTCTCAAGTCGTTACGCATTGCATCGCGTTTTATTTCTGTGCAATTCTCAGCAACAGGCTTTGCAACATGTTGGAAAGTGTTCTTTTCCACGTCTGACTGGTTGCATGTGTGTCGCTGATGTGTGCAGATCAGCGACATGCAGGCCGATAACGAGGAGTCCCAGAGAAACATCCAGCAGCTGAAGAAGAAAACCCAGCGACTGACAGCTGAACTGCAGGACACCAAACTTCACCTGGAGGGCCAGCAGAGCCGCAACCACGACCTGGAGAAGAAGCAGAGGAAGTCAGTACACACACACACGCACACAGTCATGAATGAGCAGGTGTCTGTACACATGACTTCACACAGCTGCATTACCTCCTCCTGCCGTGTTCCCACACACTGTGAAGCTTCCAGTGGTGTTGCTGTGGTAACAATAATAACTGTATAGAAAAACTGAATTGTGTTCCAGATTGTTTATAGCATCGTGCTGTGCAGAGAGAACAGTCAAGTCTCCAGCTCATTTGTACAGCTGCTAACCTGTGTGTGTGTGGCTGGCTACTATCAAGGGACATGCTCTGTAGCGGTATGTTTGTTGCTGAATCTGCAGGATGTCGTTAAAACATGTAGGATCGTCTTTGTGGCCAGCTCAGCACTTTTTAAGTGATTCGATTTTTTTATGAACTTTTACACTGAGTTTTTGCTTCTCAAATGTGCTCAAAGCAGCAGTAGTTGTGCTCTATGTGTTAATCGGAGGAGTGTGTTGTGGTGTGCAGGTTCGACAGTGAGCTGAGTGGAGCCCAGGAGGAGGTGCAGAGGGAGAGGAGTCTGAGGGAGAAACTGGCCCGAGAGAAAGACGTGCAGGCCGGAGACGCCTTCAGCCTCCGACAGCAGCTGGAGGTGGGTGTCACACGTTTGTGTGGTTATGCAGATCTGCTTTGGCGATGACGGGATTTTCTTTGAATTTAATTCTATTCAGTTTATTTTCATGCCCAATTGTGACAAAGTCAAACAAAAAGTTACAAAATAATAATCTGATAATAATATCCTTATGCTTATGTAAGCATTATGTAACACCCTAGAACTAAAAGGGTTTGTAGATGAAATGACTTTCCAGTCACTCTGTTCTGAAGCGACTTTGAATTATAATGTTATTCTTGGATTTTGGTGCTCATCACGTAATGTTCCACAACCAGTTATCAAAAAAAGAAAATAGTCCAAACCCAATGTGCACTCTTTACTTTAATGGACCGGTTAAACATATCATCTTTAAAAAGCTTTTTGTTACTCTCCTTCATTACTTCATCAAGAGTTTTCACTACACTGAGCAGTAAATGGACATTTGGACATCTTGCATCATCACTGAGTTGCAGTGTCTAAACACACTCATTTCCACTGTGTAGAGTGGAAACATGTATTCACTGCACTGTATCGTGAACTGGGAGGGATTTGAACACAGCAACGTTCTTCGTCAGCAGATGAAGGTTGCTCACACGTCCTGGACATGGATTTGTTGACATGCAGGCTCAGTAGCTTTTAGGAGCTCTGCTTTTTTCTACTTAGCTCCTATGTCAACAGATTGTAAGTCACTTTGGATAAAAGCGTCTGCTAAATGACTGTAATGTAATGTAATGTAATCATAATGTGAACTTGATATTGGCATGTATTAATTCAAAACCTTTCTATCAACTAAACATACCAGATCCAGCAGCATCCAGATTAAAACCTGTATCTGCAGACTGCTGAACGTTATGAGTTATAGTGAGGAACTTTGAACTGGTTCTGAAACGGTCCCAGTCTATTCCTGATGCCTCTGTATGACCTTCATAAGTAAACGAGAGCATCAGAGAGAAGATGGTCTATTTCTATGGAGTTATTCTTGATGCTTGTCATCGTCTACCGGGTCGGATTCTGGTGAAATCAGATGAACTCATGCAGGTTCACCAGAAACTCCTTCAGCTCCAGCGGCAGTATTCGTCCAGCCCAACACCGTTTGACAGGTCTACCCAGTCACACCCAAAACACCCAACCTAAAGTCACTGTAGTAGCTTTAAAGTAATACATGTGAACTAACTTATCATTATTGAAGACACTGGTACAAAGGTGGACCGTGTTTGGATGGCATCGTTTACAGTACCTGTTAGTGAGCTTTCACAGATCAGTCGGTCTCTCTGTGATAAAGATGATGTGTGACTGTGAGTCCGTACACAAAATATAGCTTCATTGGTCCAAAGAATGATCAATCCATCTATCAGAGGGAGCAAACTTTATTATAAGATTATAACAGATGTGCAAAAATGATGAATTGACATAATAAATTGGTATGTTAAAATAAACAACATACCAATAGGACATTGAAAACATATAGGGGTTGTTAGGTTGAATGGAAACATGATATGACCCAAGGCTGTAGCTGTTTGCAATGATGGTTAACTTTATCTTCAGATGTGCTTTTGACCAGCCTGTGTTTATAGATATATTATAGATACTGTATATAGATATATATTAAGTGAACTATTCAAACAGGTCAGTTAGGATCATCTGCATGCCTTGTGGAATATTGTACACACATCCTCTTGTAATTTAACATCTTTTATTTGGCCTGTGGAAACATATGGATCTTTATACATCTATGATACAGGTCTGAAGGTTTGCACTGCGCCCGTCCACACAGCATGAGTTGTAATTATTAAGTTTTGAAAATATGTTTCTGTGTGTGTGTGTGTGTGTGCTACCTGCTGAGCTGAGTTAGTAATTGCTCAGCGTTCCCTCATCACATGTATATGATGGTCCATTGTCCACACTGTAAGTCCCCTGACCGTCCCCTCTCTCTGTTCTAACTGTAACCTTCTGTCCTTTAGGACAAGGACCTGGAGGTGTGTGCAGTCAACCTGAAGCTGGAGCAGCTGGAGGCCGAGCTGCAGGACCTCAACTCCCAGGAATCCAAGGATGAAGCATCGCTGTCCAAGGTCTTCTTTCTTTATCTTTTATTATTTCTCTGGTGTGTTATTCAGAATCAGAATCAGAAACCCTTTATTGCCAATATATGTTGCTCATACAAGGAATTTATCATGGCAGGTGGTGCATAACATTAAACAATCAACACAGTGCAAGAAATAGAAACATATTAAAACTTACAATAGAATATAAAATAAAGTGCACGACAAACAGATAACAGGACTATAAACAAGTATGATGAAGGGTAATGTAAAGTGTCAAGTGTGTTTAAATGAAGAGACAGGGAAGGGATGTGCAGGGGAGTGACCGATAGGGAATTGTCCCCGGGATGACAGAGTCAGTGGGGGTCCCGGGCTTTGTTGATGAGCCCGACTGCCGACGGGAAGAAGCTGTTCTTGTGTCGTGAGGTCTTGGTCCTGATGGACCGCAGCTCCTGCCAGATGGAAGGGGCACGAACAGTTTGTGTCCAGGGTGAGAGGGGTCAGCTACAATCTTTCTTGCTCGCTTCAGGGTCCTGGAAGCGAACAAGTCATGGAGGGATGGCAGAATCACCCTCTCAGCAGAGCGAATGATGCGCTGTCCTTAGCAGTGGCTGCAGCGTACCAGACCGTGATGGAGGAGCAGTCCAGCCATGTTCCGATTGTTACATTCACTCATGCAGCTGCAATTTGGACTCAATGATGGCTGTGTAGAAGTGCACCATCATTGTCTTTGGCAGGTTGAATTTCTTCAGCTGCCTCAGGAAGTACATCCTCTGCTGAGTCTTCTTGGTGATGGAGCTGATGTTCAGCTCCCACTTGAGGTCCTGGGTTATGATGGAGTCCAGGAAGCGGAAAGACTCCACAGCGTCGACGGGGGAGTCACACAGGGTGATAGGGGCAGGTGGGGCTGCGTTCTTCCTGAAATCCAAAACCAGAGGGGGGAGGGGGGCGATGGGATGGGTGATACAGAGGCATGAGCCCCTGCTGAGCTGTGTGAGGGGGAGGATGTCTCAGTCAAGACATCCTGTCTTTTATTCACAATATAAAATGAAATAGTTTTCTGCTTGGTCAAGTCAATAAGCTCTATTTCATCATATGTATATTATGTACTATGCTTTATGTATTTTATATATATATATATATATTTGATTTTGTTTCATTGTATTGTATTATTCAGGTGAGGAAGCAACTTCGGGACATGGAGGCCAAGCTGAAGGATCAGGAGGAGGAGCTGGACGAGCAGGCCGGCACCATCCAGATGTTGGAGCAGGTACAGACAAAGCACAGGAAAATATTCAGCAAAGGTTAAAACTGCGCTCCTTCATGTTTGACCACAAAAATAAGACTGGTCTTTGTGTCCAATATTCACTGTCCTTTCAGCTCCGCTTTGGTCTCCACCAGCCTCTAAGGCGAATATCTGTCTCTTTAGCTGCTCAATGCTCCACTATGTTCAGCAGCTAGTCTCTGACTGTGTCAGCCTGCTGAGCAGGTAGAGTACAGTGGCTTTAACAGAATGGGTTTGTTAGAAACTGCTGCAGTGAGACTGAGCCGTGTTGGAAATGTGCTGCGAAAGCCAGAAGAGGCTGAAAAGCTCCGTAGAACTGACGGCACCTGCCGAGTTGGTGATAATTCTCTGTGGTTTGTCCACTAAGAGCAACGACCTTTAATTTACACAGCAGTCATTTCATTCAATGGTATTATAAAAACCATTGAATATTGCAGCTGTAAAGGAAGGGTTTACCCCAAAATGATGACATGCTCATTATGTACTTGTCAGGTTTAAGACCATCCACATGGCCTCCTTTTAATACCAAGCTGACACCCAGCAAGCAGTGTTTTCTCTGAGTAACACACAAACACTTTGTGCTGGGTGGGATGTGATTGTGTTATGAACATTTTACTTGTACTTGTTTACTTGGGTTTGTTTGACTGAGGTATTACAGCCCTGTCTCTGTTTGAAAAGGAGTTAACTGAGAGGATGAAGACCCTGTTGGTCTAAGTAAATGCTAACAAAATGCAGGATTGTATCCTTTACAAATCCTATAAACCTCAGAAAGCAGGGTGAAGTTAGGCTGTTCTAGAATATGATCTGATAATAGTTCCAATAACACATATACAGGCCCAGTCCAATATTTGAAATTAGTTTGGGAAATATGCTTTATTATCTTTCTTTAAGGAATACTATGCATCATTGTAGGTTAGTGTTTTTAAACACACAACATCATCAAGAGAGAGAAAGGAGTGAGCTAGAGTGACTGAAGAGAGGGAGCGCTGATTCACAGAAATAAAACCTTCATTTCACGTTGTAAAGAACGAATAAACACACCCACACTCCACACAACCCTGTGGGAAGATGCCGCATAGCCGGGTTTTGAAGGAATTCTGCTGGACACACACTGTGGTGTGTGTGTGTGTGTGTGTGTGTGTGTGTGTGTGTGTGTGTGTGTGTGTGTGTGTGTGTGTGTGTGTGTGTGACGCTCTGCTCGGTCAAACTGATGCAACGATAGCAGCACTCTACACAGCAGAGAAAGAGAAGGGAAACACTGAACCAGATAAAAACACACAGCGATGTAACAACAGGTTGGTCGTCAAATGTTGCTACTTGGCTTAAAACTAGGGTTTTGCTCCAAAAGTTGTTCAATCTAACAAATTGTCGACACTGAGTCTGTCCCTTCAGGCCTCCCTCCAAACCACTCTTCCAAAATTATCATTATGAACATAAACAACAAACATGGCTGTTGTTAGCACTCACAGCTATAAAAATAGTAGGTAGACAGGTAGGTAGGTAATCAGGTAGGTAGACAGACAGGCAGGTAGGTAGGTAGAGAGGGAGGTAGACAGGTAGGAAAGTAGAGAGGGAGGTAGGTAGGTAAGTAGACAGGTAGTAAGGTAGAGAGGGAGTTAGGTAG